GTGCCAGGGTAGCATTTAGGATCGAGGGTTCAGATCTCGAAACACGGTGTCTGCGCTTCCGGCTAGGGGGCTTTAGGCGTTAGGCCTAGAGGGATAGGGATCAGAGCTTGGGACTTAACGGCCTTGCGGCTGAGAGAGAGAGCTTCCGGGGCTTGGGGTTCATCCTAAACCCTCTAAACCCCAAGACCTACACCCTAAACCCCTAAACCTCAAACCCTCAACCCTAACTCCAGGGCGTAGGCTCCCTCTTCTTTGCACTAAACCCTAAACTTAGGCCCTAACCCCCTAACCCTATAAACCCTCTAACCCCTAAACCCTCAGATGAGACTGGTGGTGGTGGTGGCCTTCGTCTTGTCAAGATGGTGACCCTAAACCCTAAACCCTAAACCTGGGCTTTGGGGTACGACATGGAGGGGTTTCATAAGATCTTGACAGCGCCTCAACTGGCTGTGAATAGGAGAAACGGGTTTAGGGTTTAGGGTTTAGGGGTTTAGGGGTGTAGGGTTTAGGGTTTAGGGGTTAGGGGTTTGGGGTTTAGGGGTTTAGGGTTTAGGGTTTAGGTTAAGGTTTTGGGATCAGTATGCTCTCATTGGAGGGCTCGTACTTCAGGCTTTGCGAGAGATCTCAATAACATGTCATTGCTGATCGAGGCGGGACAGGAAAGCATCAAACATGCCATGATCTTATGGCCCTGTACCCTACGGCTTCTGCAACCTCCGTCTCGATCTTCTTCATGCCTTTGAAGGCTAATTCCAGCCTTGTTATTTCCTCGATCGTAGAAGCAGATGATATTTTCTTGCGCCAGTACTGTAACTGGTCGCTCCTGAGGCCTCGCTGTCGCTGTGCAGCGCTGCTTGCGTTGCATCTATACTGGCGCCAGAACTCTGAGCAGCAGCCGCTGCCTCTTTCACCCGCTCCTTTGCTTGCAAAATCAAACTCATCCGTCTCGCCATCGCCGAGGACCGCATGATTGCAAGATTGTCCATGTGGCCACGCATGACCTCATCTCTTGGCTTCAGGGCTTGCTGGGGGTGACAGGCATATCCCCGAGGGCGGGACAAACAACCAGTGCGAGGAACAGGTGCAGTGGATTTTCCAGAGCGCGGATTCATCGCAACGGCGGGCATGACTGGTTACGGAAGGGCCGGGGGTGGCAAAGCGGAGACAGCAGGCAGCAGTAAGTAGCGGCAGCAGAAGTAGCCGCTCTGCGGTGCGATGGCAGTATCGGTGCTGGGGAATTTCCTAGTTCTAGCGACTGGCTGCGGTGGTTGACCGCAGGCAGGCCACCCGCGGACGTACTGATTCCAAATTCCAAGCTTCACACCATTCATCAACAAATTATTGGGGTGCACCCTACACTTGTGCGAATTTTGCCTGAACCTTGGCACTGCCTTTTCCCCCCTTTGCGTCCTTGTTCCACTTGGCCATCTGAAGGTCCCGCACGATGTCACGGTCACTGCCTCAGCGAAATGCAGAAATCACAAACTGATCCCGATCTATTGGATGATCTCCCTGGTTGCAAACCGAACCACAGCACAAACCGAAATCCTCGAAGAGCTCGAAATCGGAAATTCCAGGCTCTATTTTGCCCCAGAAGTCGAATCGCAACGCGAAAGACGAGAGCCTAAACAAGGAACCCCGACAAGCCGAAAACGAAACCCTGAAGCCCTTCAAGGAACCCTTTAAGGAACCCCTAAAGGGAGCCCTTAAAGGGAGCCCTTCAAGGAGCCCTTAAAGGAGCCCTCAAAGGGAGCCCTGAAAAGAAGCCCTTAAAGGGAGCCCTGAAAAGGAGCCCTGAGAGGGCCCGGCACTCTTTCACGGACTTGTAGGTCACTCCGCCCTGGCCCGGCCCAATGGTTCCCGTCCTCGGAGGGCGAGGAAAGCTCTGGGTTGTTGGGGCGTTTAGGGTTTCGGGGTTTAGGGTCTAAGGATGGTACAGTCAGGGTTTAGCGTTTAGGGTTTCGGTTTTTTGGTTTAGGGTTTAGGATTTACTAAAGGATTGAGGGTTTAGCGGTTGGTTGGAATAAAAGAGCGCTAATGCGAGGGTTTGGGGCTTACGATAGGCTGTGGGTTTATCACTGCAACACAGGAAACCTTACACCCTGCACCACTAAAACAACATGGCCCGGGTTCAAAGTCAGTCTACGGCACTTAATTGCTCTCGTCACTCATGTTTGCCCAATGTAGGCTCTTTGATGAGAATTTCTCTAGGCTTCCGCTTCCGCGCTGGGCCCTCGACACCCAGAATTTTTCAACTGTTAAACCTGAGACTCTCAGCAACTGCAGAGTCTGCAGTTCCTCGGACCTCAATCTCAACCAGGAAGACGCCTCAACCCCAATCCCTGAAAGAGGAGCTTAGCGAATGTAGTGAATGTAGCGAATTCACTGATCTTCGGTGTGCGACTTTAGGTAATTGTATTTTGGAGTTGATCATTGCAGATCTTAATCTTTAACACGTTGCATGGCTTGCCACCCGCAATGCTCAAGCCGTAGACACGGAACTGCTGAAGTGTGTATCCAGCCGGAGGCACAGATCATCGATCCAGCCCGTCATGCCGTCTGAGTTGTCCATCTTCTGGTTTGTAGGCGGCACCCCGTAGACGTTCCTTTAGGCTCTGGGGGAGCTTGGAGTTGGAGGGGGTGGGTTCGGAGGCACCGCATCCTAGAGAATGAACCCGAAAAAAAAAACACGAAGTCCTGAGCCCTCTTAAACTCGGCTTTTCTAGAAAAACCCTACCAGTAGAAACCACTAAATAAAACCCTAAGCCCAAACACCCCGAACACCCTGATCCTCTGGCCACCACCACTACGATTACGACTCCGAGGTACGAGCACCACTAAGACGACTACCTCTCCCGGCTCAGGATTTAGGGGTTTAGGGGTTTAGGGGCTTAGGGTTTAGGGTGTACGGGGTTACGGTTTAGGGTTAGGGTGAAGGTTCTAACTTTCCCGGGCACAGATTACATCTCTTTCGTGACCTCGCAAGCACATCCTGGGTGTAGGCTCCAGGAGTCTACCAGGGGGGCAGCTTCCTTCGGACCTGGGTTCCTGGTTGCGGGATACTTAGCCGGGGTAGGGTTTAGGGGTTTAGGGG